CCTGGGATAAAATCGGCAGTAGTTCTATCTGTATTGTAGTGGATGTCATTGATCAGAGAGGATAGGGATACAAGACACGTCTTCACTCATCGGATAAGATAGCGGGGCATCGATGTGGCGATGATTCTGAGTTAAGTCAAAGGAGAAGCGAAGTGGCAACTGGTTCAAAGCCGGGAGCAGAAAAAAGTGATAACGCTGAGATAAATATGGATAAAAGATAGAAAAAAACAGCCAGAGGGGATAGATTCGATGGCGGAAGGTGGCAATGGTGGTGTGTTGAAGGGTGGCGGTGAAGGATGATGGTGATGATGTGGAGGGTGACAGAGGATAGTGGCTGTAGTTGTTGTTGTTTTCGGATAATGGCTGTGAGCAAGTGTCTGATGCTGTAGATTTACTGTAGGTTGAAGCGTAGCCATGAATGTGGTTATGAACACAGCCAACACAGCCAATGACGATGTGAAATGCGTCAAATTTGAGAGCGCTTCAAAGGAACCAGCATATCATCTGGCCCGATTCTTCTCCCGATGGACGGAGTGCATCTAAGTCGTTGGCTATATCTTTACCTGACCACATGGGAAGTAGGAAACTAACACATGCAGGCGGCTAATAGTGCATCATTGACAAGGTATACGTATGAAGAATTCCACAGTCAACGCATGTTCCTACGATTCTGCAATGCACAAACGATGGGGGACATGACTGTCGTATAGCGTCGATTCTGAAAGGTATACGTGTTTGGGCTGAGTAACTATGACTAGTAGACTCACCGTGGAGCACCCAGGACGTAGGGAAGAATCCTACTTGAAGGGAAAGAACATGAGTGTTTATAGTAATATATAACAAATAGAGGTATACTATGAGTAAGTGTTATTTCTATCAAACCAACACAAAAGTCAACAGGAATAACATGTTGATGAAAGGACTAACTAATAGCATACTTCCGAGTAAACTAAGTACCACCATGACGGGATTATGTGATTCCAAGGCCGAAGCAAGCTAATACAGATATCTTTGAATAATCCGACCTTTAACCAATCTCCCGCAAGAAAACCGGAATTTCTGAGGCCGTCATCGCGGTCTATATCACTCCAAGCTTATCCAACGACTCGCAATAGCCGCTACTTCATGAGATTACTCTTCCGGCGCTTCTATATTATCCAACATCAGTCTTCGATGGTTAGAGAGACACTCCCCAAAACAGTAAAGATATTCAGGAAGTTTGAGATCGTTATGGACTTGTTGTCTTTCCGTTGCTTGACGCTTGATGATGGAAATTGGGTTTTCCGATGATTATGATGCTTATGTTTATGAAAATGACGGTTATGTATATATAACAATTTTCCTCTGTATTCTCAACTAATTACTGTGCCGAGCATGTATTTCTGTGGTCTTTAATGGTGATTCTTTTCGTAGGTTGGCTTGGGCGCAGAAATGGGTTTCGAGTGATATTCATGTATGGGTCATGAAGTGATGTATCAGCGGCGTTGTTTATGTTAGTCGATCTGTCTAGAATCGAAATGCAGCCATTTAGAGGATATTGAGTCAATTTTTCGCGTTCCGACAGGATAGTTTGACAAAAAACGGTTGCCGGTGAAGTGGCTGCGAGAGATGACCATGGCTCTCTCCAGACATTCCCGCTGATGAATATCACTGATATCAACCCTCGTGCAGAGAATCAACACTGCAAGAGGTGAATGAGTCGAGGGGTTTATGGGGCGTTAATGGGCCGCCACGTGTAAACATATAGGAGCTCGAGAGGCTTTTATTCCCGATGAATAACCGTGTGTTGAATGGGAACCTTCTTCCATTGCATGACACCGCACCTGTGGGAGCAGAATTCGGGATCGATTGCAGGAGGCCTTAAAACGGTCCGAACTATGGTGCTGGCCGACATATGTACAGCTAGGGCTACATGTACTTGTGTGTGGTTAGGCAGAAAGAATGCAGGATATGTATCCCGCCTGCTCTCCGGAAGAAGAGGGAATTTCAGGATGCATTGCATGATTGTGGCTAAGCTGAAATACATGAATCCGCAATTTGATGTCCTGGATTTTCCCATTAATGCCATCTGTTTCTACCAGATGACTCCGATCCTGCATATTTCCTCCATGTCCGCATCTAAGCCCCACCGCTTATAGTCGTGGTTGAAGGCATAGAGTCTTCTGACAGAGCAACATGCATATAAAGCCGCTTCGATTTGGGAAATCAACAACGTTTGCAAGCGCCTTTCTTGGTCTGCGACGCGCGGAAACCTGGGTCACGGTGCAGTGAGCCGATTTCATGAGCCCTTGCCATGTAATGTCCGTGATGTATTTCAGGAGTTCAGATAGGTCTCTCAGCGTCCTCCTTCATCGGAGAGCGCTCGACCGGGTATTGGTTGTGAATTTGGGCTCGGGCTTGTAGCAGATAAGTGCATCACTCATAACGGAGACTCGGAGAAGGATCTTACATTAAACTATAGTTACAACTCCAAGCTTCTTAGTCTTTCTAAAGTGTAGAATCCTTAATCAGAAGCTTCATTATCTGACTATGGACCTCGCATCGTCATAACAAGGCTGCGTCGCCATCGATGATCATGAAACAACTGTAACTGGTGACTTGTCTAAAGCCCTAAGCATAGGTATGGTAATGTCAAGTTCCTCCAGATCCAAGCCTTTGGGGTCAGGGGGGTGATAATGCAGCCTTTGAGGCCATGGCAGGAAAAATAGAACTCATTGTGACCACGGCTGACGAGAAACGGGCCACGGTCCGCAGTATTATGTCGTTGGAAGGGAAATAGAGTCCTCTATAGCCACGACGGCCGGAAAGAGGCATCTGGGGCTATCAACAGGAGAATTCGAGGTCTGGTGACGGTGAAAGCGAGGCCTTTGCCGCTACAACGGCGAAACACAATCAACTTCCGTAGCGGCGCTTCATTTCCGATTACGCCAGGAGCAACAAGACAACAAGACTCGCTGAACTCCCTTCCCAAGCCCGGTATTAGGGGCCGATTAAGGTAGATGACTGAGAGGTCCTTGGTCTTGGAGCTAGACCCAGCTCCTGTCGCATGTTCCAGTGCGTGCCACCTGAAGGTGGGGCTTCTGGAATTTGATTGGGCAACTGGACAGAGTAGGGCAATGTCGTATAGTTGCTGAGTTGAAAGTGAAGCTGACTGGCGTGGTAGAACAGCAAACCTGGAGTGCATAGCGGGGTTGTGGAGTTGGCAAGAGACAGTGGGGAAGGAATGGCCATGTGCATTTCAGAAATGAGTTGAGCAGTGATGTGGGTGAGTGACAGACGGCCTTGTGGAGTTGGAGAAGATGAGCTGAGACGCATGGTTGAGAAGGGAGGTTGAGCAGCGTGGTTGTCGAGTTGAACCTAATGGCGGGGTTGAGACGATGGGTTGAACATCGGGTGTTCTACCCCGCCTGAATATGGGAGCGTCAGAATCAACATCGTTTGGCCAGAATTGAACTGAATTGAATTGAATTCATTTAAGCGCATGGGTCCCGTTGGGATATGGCGCGTCCCCTACTCTACAGCCTCCTCCTCCCCCTCCCCTACGTTTTCGTTACATTACATTTTCTCTATACATGTTGTTCGTCTATTGTCAGCCCTCTTTCTCGCCGTCCCTTCGCGCTGGCGATGGGCCGCCTTTTGAGTTGTGATAATAAGTTATTAAACACGTTCTCTCCTCTTTTCTGATCATTTTTGTTTTTGTACCTCCTCCCTTACTCTCCTTCCCCGTCCTCCCCCTGTACCTCCCATCCCCACTCCTCCGCCCTTCTCTCCTCATCTTCTCTCAGTTTCGAGTCATTCTTCACCTTTCCTACGTCTGTCTTTTCCAGGAATTCGAGAATGGCCACTGTGGCCCTTCGTTTTGCGAATATGGTGGAGACTGCGTGCCTTTTTGTGAAACCGAACTGTTTTAGATCTTTCCATAGCTTCTCCTGTTGTCTTCTCCAGTGTCTGCACTCTTTGAGGAGGTGCTCCCGGTTCTGCCGCAGTTCTCCACACCACCAGCACTCATCGCTTGTAGCCTTTCCAATTCTTTTTAGGTACTCTCCAGTTAGGCTCTTGTCCGTGGCGAGCCCGAAGTACCTAATCGCCAAGCCTTTCTTGGCCCTCATTGCTGTCCAGTCTGGTTTTGGGTTTTGAGTTCGGGTTCGAAGGAGCTTGAATCTGTGGGGGTAGTAATCGTTTGGCCAGCCTGATTGATTGATTGATTGATTGATTGTAATCATTTAAGCGCATGCGTCCCTTTGGGATATGGCGCGAGAACTAACATACAAAGCGTCCCCTTTCCGCAGTGTCGTACTGCATCTACTCGAAAAAAAAACTCTGTTTCATCCGTTTTCAACCATTCTCTCGCCGGCCTTGCTGCCTTTGCAGTGGCCGCCTTTTGAGCTGTACACTGCTGTGCACTTAGACTCTCCTGCATCTACCGGTTTCTTCTTCCCTTGCTTTACTATGTGCTCATATCCTCCTCCACTCCATACTCTTCCTCCCACCCCCATTCCTCATGTACCCGGTCTTCTTCGGCTCTATCCTCGTCCTCTGATTTTGGTCTTCCCACCAGCGTTTCTTCGATGAATTTTAGTATCGCCTGAGTGGCCCTGGGTTCCGCGAAGATTGTCGACAGCGCGTGCGTCTTCATAAACCCTTCTTTCCTCAGCGTGTTCCAGAGCCCCTCTTGCTCCCTTCTCCATGTTCTACACTCTTTGAACAGGTGGTCGCGGGTCTGGCGGGGTCTGTCGCACCACCAGCATTCGTCACTGTCTCTTTTTCCTATCGATTTTAAGTAGGCCGCTGTGACTGCGCGGTCTGCCGCGAACCTGTAGTATTGAAGAGCGACTTTTTTCCGAGCTTTTGCCGCTGTTGGGTCTACCTTGGTGGACTTCCTGAGCTTGTACCGCTGGGGATAGTACTTTTGGCACTTCTCCCCAAATTACTTTGGCCAGCCTGATGCGAAGCGGGAATATGTGGTAATATACTATGATTATCCAGCCCAGACTATCTCAGGTTCTGTAGTGTAGTGGTTAGCACACGGGATTTTGATGGAACCTTCCAAATCTTTCCCGTATCCTGGGTTCAAGCCCCAGCAGGACCTTTTTTTTTTTCTTTTTTTTTTTTCCCCCTGTTCACCATCAGCTTTTGGAGCATTAGTAGTCTAACAACAGTGAATGTAATAACAAGCTTATACTACGCATTAGCGTATGAACTAAAGTTCCGAGAACGGATGTATTTGAAGAACAAGCATGTTCTATTCCCACGTCAGAAAAAAGCTTGCGCGATGATATGACGGTAGAGAATGTGCACACCTTCATCAATAGGGTGGCATATCTTTAGAATGATTTAAAACCAAGGTTTTCTGATGATTTAATACCTTTTCCACAATATACTTTGACGTGTAAGAACCCCACAGTTTTATCCCTTGCAAAATACTTAATTCTGACATATCTCACTCTGGTCAACTACCATCCTGGTATTGCGTCCCCTCTCTTCGCTAACAGTCCATGAGTACGAACAGTAACGTGCAGCCCTATCAACCATATCACGGACATCCCATCCGAGCCGTGGACAACCTGTGCCCGGTGCGTTACAGTACAAGGGATCATGGTCATGAATCAACCTGAAACTAAACACCGAGGCACAAGAGAGAGAGAGAGAGCTTGCGCACCTGGAAAAGCGGGGTAAGTTGAGAGGTATCGCATAAGGGAATTCTGCCTCAGGCAGCAGCACAGCATGATGATGGCACATGTCCGTGATTTTGAGCCGCAGTGCATACTTCGCTCCGCGGCATGTGTGCGCACTGAGGAAGCAAGAAAAGCTTTCTGTGCATTATGCTCCTGAGCCTCATGGTTGCACAAAGGCTAGAATACCGTATCTGGCCGGAAATAGAAACAGATGGAGCCTACAATATGGTGCGGGGCGTTGCAGACTGACCACGGGACGGTCAGGGGGAGAAGAGGAGATGTGAGAGGAGATTCAGAGTGAGACATTGCTGGGCTAGAAGTGAGGTGTGAGGAGGACGATGTTTGCCTACTGGTGCCATGGCCCGTGTTTAGGGATTCGGATAGTGTGTGTCACAATCATAGGTGCGGGGTAATCCTCCTTCGATGGCCACCACGTTGAACATAATTCAGCCTCACTCCCGCCAGCCGGGGTTTCTCGCCTTTCCACTCCTCATGTGTATAATTCCGATGGATCTTCGGTGCATAAGTTGTTCGTGCAACTTCGCTCCGGGTGCGCATACACAGAAGACTGCTAGGCCGATCATCTGTAGCTATAAAAATCAAAATTTAACGGACATAAAAAGGTACATGCTGTAGAGAAGTAGGCTCCCAAGTGGCACCGTCCAAAACAGGTGTCGTGCATGTGCGTGTGGCAGGGTATCCACCGTTCGACGTTTCCACACATCACGAGCGCACCACATTCAATGTTCCGAGGACGTAAGGTACCGGGACCGTCTCCGTCCGTGATGTATTCTAGTTACTGACAGAGTAGTGTATTTTCTGGTACTTCGGTAGTTACTCTGCGACTCGTAATCGAAAACATGGACGGCCGGGATAACTTGAAAACGGTCTGGGAATAGGATTATTCCGCTACACGACAAACTCCATGATCTCGATATACTACATGTACCTGTACACGGCGAGGAAGGAAACCAGGACAGGAAAGACGAAGATGGGAAGAACAGGAGAAAAAAATAGAAAACGCTATGGAGTGACGCAACAACCACCAAGCAGGTCAATTCCCACCCTCCCCCCACCTTCCACTGTGCTCGGAGGCCCAAATTTCGATACAAGCCACCCAATAATAGAGAACAATTCCTTCAGGCGTAGTACTTGCTGTTCCGCAACTTCGCACCCATCTGTTGATCAAAACCATCCTCACAAATCCTGATATCCACTATTCTTCCCTCATCGTCTTGGTTTACTGCATAACGTATCTTCTTGTCGGAAAAGAGCTCCCAGAACGCATCTTGATTCGTAACGCGTCCATGTTTATATTGGTCCACCAACTCGACGATAGGTTGGAGAATGCGGGAAATGGTGAAGAAGCTACTGTCTCTGCAGAACGTGTTGTGGCAAAAGTAGAGGACAAGGGCCGCTGGAATAGCCTGTGCGAGCAAGAGACTGACTATAATCAAAGCAACAAAGTGCCATCGAACTTCTAGCCGGACGCCAATTTGAGGCTGATCACCTTTTATCTCCATTTTGGAGTTGGTTCTGTCCAGGAGAGCGATAGAGCCAATGGCGAAACGGGCTATATTGTCTTCAACACTCGAGATGGCTTCTTCACCTGTGACGTTCCACAGTCTCCAGGCCGAGCTATGAATGTTAGGCAGTGGAAAATATTTGGGAGGGGAAACCCACTATCCGAAATATGATTGGGATTGCGCGTGCGCCTCATCATGCCAAATATCATTTCTTGCGATAGCGCTTGCTGCTCTTTCGGCAACCGTGTTACTGACTTCATGATTCTTGTCCAGCTTCTTCTGTGATCCGGCGTCTTGAACGGAGCTGACAGTACTATTGCAAAAGAAGTAGTCGCCTGGCTCTGAGGACTCGGCGGTCCATCGGAAAACTTCGACATAAGAGCACCTTGCTCCACAGTTGGGTGCTTCGTGATAGGGGCCCTTGTTTCTCGTTCTATGAAGCTCTATCATTCCACTTTGTTCTGACGCATTCATAAGCAAATTCGGGGTACTGTAAAGAGTCGTATTTGGATACGCAAAGTATTGTAACCATTCGTGCTGATTCTTGTATTTCATCTCTTTGACCATAAAAGGATACAGACTGATTGGCGGTGGAGGATTGAACTCCGGGGGTATATTTCCAGGGACAGAACCGTTCGTGATTAAAGAGTGCGTGCATCGGGCGTTAGCGGTGATGAAGCGTGTGGTACGCATCTCGATAGGGATTTGTCTCGTAGCTGGCAAGAATGACTCCCTGAACTATTAAAATACGATTAGAAAAAGGACTGTGAAATAAAGCTCTGATAGAACTCACATAATATTTGTACTGAATCGACTGGCGACCTCTATCGTCGGTGAAAAGTTTTGAGACAACGTCGATAGGATTGGGCCCAGGGACAGGTGGCATTGATTCGTCTTCCTCGCCGAAATTCAACGCATGCTCAGATCCTTGATCCCCATATCAGCTCAACCCTCAAAATCGATAACGGATGCCGTACCAGCTCCAAGCGAGTGACTTCTCGCATTCTGTGCATTATACTCCAAACCAATGTCGATATCTTTACGAGTCTTCGCGGATGGTTGAAATGAGCCGAGATCTGTAGCATTTATGTCTCCAAGTTGGATTATAAAAGCGTTCTCGGATTCATGTTCGTAGACTAACCCCAGCAATGCCACGGTGACCTGAGCTCCCTACAATTTGGAATAAGTAAGCGGTCATAATATAATTAGAGCAGATATGAATCACGAAGAACATACAATTCCTAGAAAAAGCCAGATAAACACTATCCAGAAGTGTTTTTGTTTCGGGAACCAGTACTTCAAGAGTTTCGCGCAGTTTTGGTAACTGCTCATCCCAAGGATTGTGTCGAATTCGCGAGCGGTATGGCCGCCATATTGATTGCTCGCAGCAAACGTCCAACGAAAGACATCGGCCATTTCCTTGTAGCTGCTGACGAGGTTTAGACCAAGAAGTAGGGAAAGACCAAGATACACGGCGTTGAAAACGTGTTTTTGAGTTCTATCCAATATCCCGGCCTTTTCACCAAATGTGAAGCAGGCGTATATGAGTCCCAGTATTGCTCCTGATAAAAACAGTCTGAGAAAGAATTGCCATAACTGGTGGCGAAATTGCCTTCCACGACTATATTCGGCGGTCATCAGTAAAGACGCCCCTCCAGTACTCCAGCGTTTCAGGGGTCCATGGAGAGAAGGTGATGAAGCGAGGGTCGGCGACGATCCCAGGGTTGGCGATGTGGTCGGGCTGGAACATATTGGGTCTCCGTTAAGGTTTCCTGGTGGTTGACGACCTCCAGAAACATCGTGGGCCGGAGTAGAGTCATTGCGGATTGTTTCAGCCGACATAGAGTCATCTGGTTCGTCAGGAAGTCGGTGGTAAGAGCCTTGAGCGTCGTTCCCCGCCTCGGCGGAGCCCTGTGGCAGGAGCGGCATGGAGACTTCGGTAGGGAGAGTAACGAGCAGATTCGAAGATGGAGAGATGAGGGTCAATGAAGCCCGCCTATAAGCAGAGGGAGAACTGAAATTTATGGGTGAGCTGCTTATCAAGACTGAAATACTCTTCTACGAGTTGCCGGGCTGACCTCTGTCGACCTGCTTCTGCAGCGCCACTGCATTTGATTGATCAACTATTTTGAGTGTTTGGGCAGACAAAAGAAGGCGAGTCAATCCTTGTCATCGGAGTGTGAATCGGTAAGAGGAGCCGGTGAGATGGTGTCGTTAGGTTCTCAACTTTGAAATTCCCAAGTTGGGAGTTTAGGGGACAAGGCTTTGTGCTTGCGCATCTGTAAGGTGCAGGACCGGTGAGAGGTATTGGAGGGGTGACTTATATCACAGAACCAGCACTATACGGAGTGGAGAAGGGAGGGGTCGTGACTGCATCGGCAATAGGCAACAGAGAAATGACGGAAAGGGTGAAAGAGGGGATGATCGGAGGAGGATGGATGGATGGTGGACTGCGAAGGGAGAGTAAGAGCAGAGGGAACTCACGATGCTGTCTTGTGTGGTGGTGGACAGTGGGCAGCGGGCACGCGGAAAGTGCCAAGGCAGCGGGGGGTGAAGACCAGTGATTCCAGCAGAGTACCACGCCGCTGTCAAAGAGCGTGGCCCGGTACCAGTTGATGGAGGGGATCCACATGGTTGGTGTCCTGTCAGTGATATATCGAAGTGCATCATGGCCGTCTCTTTCAAGCGTCCAGCCTCGTCAGGGCCATCGTGTGTTCCAGCTGTTGAAGAGGGTGTCATCCACCCTCACAGCATCGATGTTTTGCTGGCGTAGTACCTAGGTACCGGTAGTAGAGCCTGCCTCTTCGACACTGTGCAAACCTGGGCAACTGTTGCTGGTTCCTCATTTCTGGGGTCAATCACAACCAGCCACTCACGTGACTCTATCA